ACATTGAAAGATTGGGTAAAGTAGACCCCAATAAAGTTATGCAGGTTACGACTATGGATCGTTATGTGAAATACCATGTCCAGGAGTTCGAGAAAAACTTTGCAATAAAATTTCCAGCTTGCACCATTGCTGCAAAGAGGCACATAGATTCAAGCACTACAATTTTAGATGTTCAAGGCGTGGTATGTTACCTGTAATCTATAATTACTTTTCATATTAAGTAAAATCATAATATTTAATTATTGTATGTTTGTTTTAATTGTTTCAAGGGATTCAAGAATTTTACAAAGTCTGCACGAGATTTAATTACGCGGTTGCAGAACATTGATAATAACAATTACCCTGAGGTATGCAATCGTATTTGCTTAGAACTTTATGTTATAGCTACTTTTTTATATGGATTGTAAAGTCAATTTTAACACCACCTTTGGACCTTTTATCTGTTCATAACTGGTGCAGACCCTGTGTCAAATGTTCATCATTAATGCTGGTCCTGGATTTAGGCTGCTGTGGAACACTGTGAAGACTTTTCTCGATCCTAGAACAACGTCAAAGATTCATGTATGGAGAAATTACTTATTCCTTGTATCAGAACTTTTAACGTTTGGGGTTCACGGGAATGTCATGAATTTACAATATTTCTTTGTTTGATTGTATACAACATTTCAGGTTCTTGGAAACAAATATCAGAACAAATTGCTTGAGGTAATCGATGCCAGGTGAGCAGGCTGCAGTGTATCTGTCATCCGTAATGCTATATTTTTGCAATCTTAACACACATAGAAGTTCAGTATAATGTACTTGCTCCAAATGCAATTTGAATCAAGATTGTTGTTCATGTTGAATCATAGTTGAATGTGTGGTTGTTAATGATAGTCTGGCAATACAACAGTGTAACCTCTCTCTGTAAAAATAGATACCCAATGACATATATATGCATGTATATGTATGTATGTACATGTAATTTCTATTATTATATTCTATTGTTACAGTTGTCTTTCCTATGGTAAATTTATAATTGCACATCTCTCCATGCTTACAAAGATTTTTCCAAGTATGCAGTGAGTTGCCAGAATTTCTGGGCGGTAACTGTACCTGTGCAGATCAGGGAGGTTGCCTTCGATCTGATAAGGGGCCATGGAAAAACCCGGAGATATTGAAGGTTATATCTTGCCCTCTGGATTTCCTTTCTGCTGCATATTCTTTTTACTTTTACGAGGTGTATTGCCATATTTTGGTTACTGAATTGAGCTTGCTTGTGCTCTTTGTTACAGATGGTTCTAAACGGTGAAGCACGACGTGCAAGGCAAGTTGTTAAAGTTCTAAACAGTGAAGGGAAGGTTCTTGCTTATGCTAAGCCACAATATCCAATGGTAAAACTTCTATAGTTTTCAATACTGCACAATAAAAAGTGAGATTATTTTTGCATTAGTTTTTACATTTTATGAGGGGCTTTCTTTTGAAGCAGGTAAAGGGAAGTGATACATCCACTGCTGAGTCAGGATCTGAAGCAGAAGATATTGCGTCCCCAAAAGCTTTGAAGAATTATTCACATCTTCGATTGACTCCTGTTCGTGAAGAGGTAGGTTTAACCTTTTATTATGTAATGTTACTACTATGATTAATTGATTCATTTTTGGAGTCTTAGAATTTATATTGACCAATCATGGAGAAAAAGGAGCTTATTTTGTACAGGTAATTGATATGTCTCTTTAAGAGTTGTTGGAAGAAGTTAGGAGAGCATTCTTGTTTGCTTTGTTTGATAGAACAATCTTCTAGATGGGATAGAAGAAATAGAACTTGAGCATTGGCCTTTATACAGTTTAATTTGATATGGAACTCTTACTACAGTAGGTTGGTTGTCACCTCTTCCCTCTTAGAGCTTCTGCCATAATTCGGAAGGTTAAATTAACTTGCTAGTGTAAATTATTGCGTGGGTTTTCTCATGATAGCTTAATACTTGTAATAGTATTCAAAGGAGAAACTCTAATGTTTAGTGTACTGTGTACGAAAGGAGACAGATTATTGACCATTTGCTTCATTGCTCTTTTGCTTTCAATCATTGCAACAAGCTGTATAGGAAAGTTATTTTCTTGTGGGTGATTCCGACTTCCAGCATGTGAAGCACTGTGATGGTGTTTGAAAAAGAATTGTGATTCGGGTGGATGGACAAAATTGACAGTTGTGGAATTCTAGTGTAATAGGAGGTTTGTTAAAAACAAAATATGGGAAGGACGTGTTATGCTTGTGGCTAAATTGTTTTGTTGCACAGTTTCCCTAAATCCTGTGAAATTTCATATTCGTTATTCCTTGGTGTTACTTAGAGATTGTTTTAGCTGCTATGCCGTGTTAGTTGGATGTATTGTTAGCTGTTTGCTAGTTTGATGTTGAAGGTTTTGTTTGGACCTTTGGGGTATTGCTTGTTCACTGGTCTAGCTAGTATATGCAGGCTGCTGAACCTTCAATATAATACAATAAAATACAATATGTATTGCTTGTTCACTAACAAAGAAACAATACAGGTTGCTTGTTCACTGATCTAGCTAGGAGATGCTAACTACTCAACTAAAAAAAGCTACGCGTAAAAAATAGTTTCGTTTGCTCTTGAATTGGTTAAGGGCTATTGGATCACCAAGGGCACTGAAGATGTGTAATATTATGTAATCAGCAAGAATAGCCTGTAACTTTTTACTCTTTCTATTGATGGCTACATTCATTTGTGTCAATTATGTATTCCTTAATGTGCTATAATTAATATGCAGGTTAAAGCCGTTGGCAAGGCAAACTGCGCAGGTCATTTCTCTGGTTATGATGAATATGTTCCTATGGTTGACAAAGCCGTTGATACTAATTGGAAAAAGCAAGTGGCCCTCCAGAGAACTCATTCTTCCAAAGGTCAGCATGTCTAGCTTCGTCTTTTCTGCCAAGATACAACATTTTTTAATTTATCCTATTGTTATAGTAGCAACTCAAACTAGTCCACTATGATAAGACTTCACAGCCTTATAATAGTTGAAATTTCATTACATTAATTTACTTTTATACTGATGGTTATATCTTGTGCCGAATTTCAGATGATGTACGCTATATTGCTTAAAATTTTATTTTAGTTTCTGCCTTGTAACACTTGTTACTATATTTGGTTGAACTGTTATTTTCTTGTTTTTCTTTTAATTGTTTTGGTACTTGGCCTTATATAAAACAAGAAAGTGAAATTATCTTTCCCATTCAGGGACACTTCCAGTACCTGACACCCCGAAGAATCCAGAAGGAATCCAAGGTCGGATTTTGGTTGCACTGATGGCCTTCTTCGTGACTTTCCTCACTCTCTTCCGCTCAGTGGCTTCCCAAGTAACTAGGAAGCTTCCTGATGCATTGGTCAATCACAATCGAAATATTCCGGAAAGCACTTCTGATGAAGCAAACAAGGAAGAGGGTTATCCTCCTTCACCAACAGCACCAATTACAGGGACAGATCTTCTCCCCACTGTACTGAAAAAGCTGGTGGAGCTTGAGGAGAAGGTTGGCATGCTTGAAGCTAAGCCATCCGAGATGCCTTATGAGAAAGAGGAATTGCTGAATGCTGCTGTTTGTCGGGTGGATGCCTTGGAAGCCGAGTTAATTGCTACTAAAAAGGTATAGAAGCTTTATTTGATTTGTGGTAAAATGGGTGCCTTCAACCCGTGAAATCATATTACTGCCCTGGAAAAATTTCACCTTGTCGATACTATTGCATGAGTGCCCTACTCGATTTGTTATTTATTTTCTTTAAATTTTTTGATGTTTGCATCTCTCCACGTGACATATTTAAGGGGATTGCTTGCATTTATTTTGCATCTCATTGTGCATATAGTGCTATTTATGTTAAGGCGCCCATGACGGCATGAGTGCTTCTTGGTTGTCACTTGACTTAGTTTCGGTAATTCAGAATGATGCATGTATTGACGGTGTTTCTTATGGAGCAGGCTCTGCACGAGGCTTTAATGAGGCAAGAAGAGCTTCTGGCCTATATTGACAGGGAAGAAGACGCCAAGCTCCGGGTACGTTAACCATACAGTCTATCTATGAAAATGTATTTCTTCTTTTTCGTTTCCGTGGGTTCGGTTCAAGAGTTTTAAGACATCTTCTTGCTCCTTGTCATCAGAAAAAGAAGTTTTTTTGCTGGTAGAGGTGGTTGCTGTTGAAGAGGGACAAATATATCATCCGAAATGATGCCCATTCTGTCTACTGAGAACCATACGGAACTGACCGTTGAGTTTATTTTCTTGAAAGAAGTTTGTGCAGTTTTTATTTGCTTAATCCGATAACGTTTCCGGGAAATGTTGGAAATGTTGGAAATGTTGGGAGTGAGTTAACTAACCACAGATTTTATCATATTATGACTTATGTTGTGCACGTTTCATCTACAATAGATAGAAAATTAAGCAAGTGGCCCTTTACTACTGGTGAAAAAGAGTTGAGCCCTTACATGATATTGTGGGTTCGAATTCATCGGTGATTAATTTAACACCTAATCTAATGAAAGCTATCATTTGACACACAAAATAAAAAAATAAAAAAATAAAGAATGTGAAAAAATAAATGATGGACCGTTCGAAAGAATTTTTGGTTTGAGGTCTTTGGCACTGACGGACCTTTCGAAAAAATACATGAAATTATGACAATGTGAAAAATGATTTACTTTGAGTTGTTAGACAATGTGAAAAAAAAAAAAAAAATCATGCTATTATATAATTTAGTTGTAAATTATGATAACTCGTCTACTCATTACAAAATGCATGATTCAATGCGTTGAAATTAAACTATATTACTAATAGGGCATTGACAATCCGTAAAGATCGGTATATATTACAGTTAACCTATATAAATTAATAGCCTTAATATCAAGAAAAATCTATTAAATTATGGAAAATTAATGAATTGATAAATTAATAACCTATTAATTTATCACCGTATTCTTTATTTTCTTAAATATTATACATTGCAATTCTATGCATTTGTTTAACCAAATAAAATTCATGATTTACTTATTTCTCCAAAATAAATTGTACATTGTAAAGCTAAAGCGGTGCCATGTTTACGCAAAATATAGACAAACTTTGAAAGAGAGGCACACTGCACAGTAATGTACAAAAGCTTTGTAAGTTACAGTACCAAACTAGCAAACATAGAACCGAATGCATTCCACGACGCATCCGTAGGGGAGCTGACAATCGAACCACCGCCGCCACCAACAGCTAACCCTCAACGTTAGTTCATCTGTTCATCCAGAGCTTCAAATCCAATAGCCGGAGCGATCACCGCCTTACCAAGAGAAAGGGTTCTGCAGTCACAGTTCAAAAAACAACTATGTCAAAACACTTTTCCACGTCTGATATTTGTAGTGACATGTTTACGCAATGGGCATCGATTTCGGTACTTCTTTTCAACCATCTGCACTCCAAACTGAATATTTTATACGCAAGTGAGGAGTGCAAAAGGCCATAAGTAGAGCTGGTTAAGCACTAGAAGGGTAATAATTAGGTCACTTACAAACTTCTTCTTCTTCTTCTTCTTTTTCTCAAGGTTCGCTATAAGCTCGTCCTGTCGAACAAGGGTGTCCTCAAGTGCCTGCAAAAAGCAAAACAAAAACAAAATGTACATGTTCACGTTTAGTTAGTTTTCTCTTGATATAGATTTTCCTGTTTCGGTTTCATTTTTCTTTTGGAAATGCCAACATCAACGCCAAAAGACATGAATGTGAAGACGATTTACCTTCTTTGTTGATGACAGCTCTTGTTCCAAGGTGTTGACGCGGTTGAGAGCAGCATTCAAAATCTCCTCTTTGTCAGGTGGCATGACTGCTGGTTTCGAGCTGAGAGCATACAGCTTCTCCTCCAGTTCGGCCATGCGCTTCATCAAGTTCTTGTAGTCAGTGCTGGAGATGGCAGGCGCAGGCAACGGTTGGCCTTTAACCACCACTCCATTGTAGTAAACAGGGGTTCCATACCGGGCAGCATCAGTGAGTTTTCTTGGCATGCTTCGTGTGAATTGAATCATGGCGACAATTCCCATGATGAAGGCCATGAGTCCAGACAGTAACTGATTGGTTAGTCCATCAGGAACCTTGCGAGTATCATGCACAGGGAATCCTTCTGTAGGAAATTCATCATAATGAACTGACTTAGGCCAATTTGCATCAACAGTCTTGTCAACCATCGGTGCAAAGTTGTCATACTCATAGGCCTGATTGCCCTTGTCTGCGATTGAAACCTGCAAAATACAAAGCAAATGAGAACATCCACAGATAAACGCGACATGGTCCATGGAGATCGATATGGTAATGAAGGTCTGCTAAGCTTACCTTTTTAAGCGGATGAGAGGGTCTTCGATGCTCCACTTGAAAATGCACGTCAACATCTGGAACAGTTTTTGATTTGAAGGAATCATATCTCTTCATGTGGTTGTAGCATACAAAAATCAAACAGATATTAGGCAATTGATCATTGAAAAAAATAACCAAAAGAAGACAGTTTGAAGAGAGGCCATAATTACACCAAAGTTCAAAGATCTGAGTACCTTTGAGGAGGCATTCTCATCTTCAGAAATTATCTTCTCCTCAATGCCGGATAAAGATTTCCTCGGGCATTTGGCCTCACCATCATGAACCATCTGGCTCATCGAAGCAACTGATTTTAATCCTTTGTTCATATTAACATAGAAGATACTACAATCAAACAGAAACAAAACAGTAGTAAATCACCTTCATTATGTCTGGATCATTCCATGGGCCCTTATCCGAGCGCATACAACCACCCTTATCAGCACAAGTACAAGTGCCACCTAGAAACTCTGGCAGCTCACTGTTGCAGATTTTAATGAAAACACTTTATGACAGAATATGAAGCTAATACGATATTACGTTACCAAGCAAATATGTACAGCACAATGTGAATCAGGAACGAAAACACGTTATGACAGAATATGAAGCTAATACGATGTTACGTTACCAAACAAATATGTTACAGCACAATGTGAATCAGGAATGCTAACAATATAGACTTGGAGATGTAAGAAAAATTGAACCGAATTCCAAGGAAATATATCTTGCCCTAGTGGAAACTTACCTGGCATCAATTATTTCAAGCAGCTTGCTCTGGTATTTGTTTCCGAGAACCTGATGGGTAATCATCAACTCGTTTAACACCATTACCATATCAAAATCGTAAATCAGCATTAGGTTACGGTAAACAAAAGATGAATGCGTACATTGATTTTTGCAGTGGTCTTTGGATCAAGGAAAGATTTCACAGTGTTCCATAAGAGTCTAAATCCGGAACCAGCATTGATGATGAACATACGGTTGAGGCTCTACAATGAAGAAAGCTTTCGATCACGTCATAAAACAACAAAACTGGTTTTCTTGCTAGGCAAACCAAGAAAGCTTATTGCACAAGAATTGCAATGACATTTACAGGATACCTCAGGATAGTTGCCACCATCAATGTTCTGAAGGGTCTGGATGAGGTCCCTTGCAGATTTGTTGAAATTTTTAAGCCCCTGCACATCAATTACACGAACTCAAGATTACTTGTTTTGCAATCAAAACAAGGGAAAAAGAAAAATCAAAGTATCTAGCTATGTTTACTAACCACTCCTTGGACATCAAGAATAGTGGTGCTTTGATCAATATGCTTCTTTGCTGCAATGGAACATGCAGGGAATTTACAGACAAAAGTCCTCTCAAACTCCCGAACATGGTACTTCAAGTAACGCTCCATTGTTGTCACTTGCATCAGCTTGTTAGAATCAACTTGACCAAGTCTCTCAATGTAGACAGGTCGTCCATCCTTATCAACTCCGTGATGTCCTTGGGGATAGTACTTCAAGACTTCATCAATTTCCTTGAAATCGAAGTCCTAACAAAATAACCGAAGGAGAAATTTAGGGCATCTGGACAGTAGTCAATAAAGGCATAAGGTAAGTTCGAAAAAAGAATCGAAAAAAGAAGCGTTAAAATACCTCCATGATGGTGTCAGCACCAAATTCCTTTCTCCACTGAAGCATATCAGTCCACATTTGCTTTGCCTTCTCAATGTCAAATTTCCTGGCCCTTAAAAATCTTTTCCACCATACAAGAAAATAGCAATTTAGTCAGAATCGTTTAGAGAAACTGGATACCTCTAATCGTTAATGCTAGCCAAAAGATGGAATATAAGTTGCCTTAGCATCATATGATGATCGTCGTGTTTTGCAGGCAGTAGTTCTTCCAAGATTAGTGCTTGGCGAAATGCGTCCACTGCCTGTAGCTCCTCAGCATCAATGTTATCCTCTATTGGGACGGACATCACCCTGCTGCTTCTTCGTCCCTTCTTAGTAAAGGAATGCCTAAACTTGGTGGAGGCATTGATTGCCTTCTTCTTAAGAGTCCCAAGCCTTGTTTTCCTCTCATCCTCGGAAGTTTCTTCGTGAACTGCAGAGAATAATTGCAGACAAAGATTGAGATAGAATGAAAATGTAGGCACAAATGTTTGATTGTTAATTATAACTTACCAGGTTTAAGGTGTCGGTCGACGGATGCAGGCATAGGGTCACACATGGTTGATATCTTGCAAGGTTGCTCTACCGCTTTGAGACAGCCAAAGGATAGGAGGGTCAAGCACTTATATATCACAACTTGCTCAAACTAGGGCCCTCGGAGGATATACCCTACACCAATAACTTTAATTCACCCAAAAATGAAAACAAAGTTAGAACACCAAACCTTGAATTAATCTTGTTCTCATGCATTTAAAGGGTACTTATGTTCGATACAAATACTTATGTTGCCAAACTATAAATTTAGACCGCATCGTGAAAGAATCAGCCTGATTAGAGTTTCAGATTTACAGTTTGACAACATAAGCACCGAGAGTATTGAAATTAACGGTTGAGAAATTAGAAAAGAGGAAAAACAAGAGATTGGGTGTGTAGAGAAGAGAGGGAGGTTGAGAGAACGAAGAAGAAGAAGAATACCTTTTTGGCAAGAAATGTAGGGAGGAAAGAGAGAAAGTGGTGAAGCATATATATGACCCGAATTAATCTCTAGAATTGGACGGCTAGACAGACAGAGAGGATGACATGACTTATTTAGTAAAGAAAGATTGACACCAATAAAAGGGAGATTTTGTTTTCATTTTTTCCCCATTGACATGGTCGTCTCTGTGCATTGCATTGCTTGACCAGTTTTTGCTGTTTTTGGTGGCCTGCGGCTGCGAAATGCAAGCCACTCCGTTCAATATCTTTTCCTTTTCCCGCACAAGTTAACCAACTTTTCCCAACTGTCATCCTTCTTTTTCCACGCAAAACCTACTACTATTTTTGTTTGAATATCAATATACCAACTTTTTTGGTTAATAATATATCTTATAAAAAAAAAATTATAGAGTTGCGATTTTAGGATAATGACTTAATTTGATATGTTGATTTAATCAAACGAAAAAGTGTAGACGTGGGTATAGCAGCATTGGTGAAAGTGAATGTGATTTTATCTCGTATTTTATACTGTTATATTTTCAATGTGAAATTTTTGTATAAGAGGCATAATAACCACCAAGAGATGATCGAGTGGTTGTCAACGAATTTCACGTTTGTATTCTACTGGGCACGTTTTGGGTTCGATTCTTGGCACTGGTAGATCACACGATGGTGGTCAAGAAAACACTAAAATACATGTGTGAGTCTTCCCGGTCTCTTAAAATGTAGACTATCGTGGCAAGTCACTAATATGTCCCCTTTTTAAGTAAAGAGTAGAAGGAGAATAACTCGTTGAAATTGCTAGAGTCAAAACTGACACCTTGAAATTATGAGGATCTTTGTGGAACCTTACGAAGAAACTAGCAACTGAAATATTGTATTTGTACTTTGGTATTATATAAAAGAAGGAAAACTCTGCGATATTCGTATTGAAGCTAGTGTTAGCAATCCATTGACAATTAAGCAAAGGCGATGATGAAATATTTTCATTTCTCACTGGGGAGAAGAAATAATTCAAACTCCAGAGAATCATTGAAAAGAAAATACCAATAAATTAAGACCTAATTAATTAATGATTTTTTTTTGAACAAATGATAGTATTTACACTAAGGGGGTGGGTGAGTGGGCTAAATCTTACAATAGGTTTGCCATAATAATGCGGTTCAACTTTGCATTTGGTGATAATCGAACCTAAAACCTCTTACTTACAAGTGAAGAGAAATGCTACTAAATCGTAGTACTAAGTGACAATTTCATTTCAATATAAATGGAAAGATATGTTATTACTATTGAAGGAAGCTCATCAGTTATATTTTTGCTTATGCTCCTTGGTGTTTTATGCTTTTATTATACTAGTTACGTGGAGCTTACTTGCCTCATAAGTAATATAAGTCATAAAATATTAGATTTATCTCAAATCATATTGAAATCCTACTTTTAAATTACACAATCACATTTTTAAACAGTATTGACTACAACAATTATGAATATACAGATTAAAGAAACAAATGGTGGGATATATATGAGTTAGTTCCCTAGACTTGCATACACACTCATTGCTCAATCACCCCTTAAAATTGTTGTTAAAAATGTCCTTTTAACTACTTTCCTCAATAATTATAAGGGAACTTCAATAGAAAGGGTTTCTTCAAACTTTTAATTAATGAAAATGGTTTAAAATTTAATGATAATGACTTAAACTTTAATGAAAGGACGTTTAATATAATAAAACATAAAATAATAAAAAACTGGCATGCAAGACCCCTTGCCCCATCACACACATTCTCTCTCTCTCTCTCTCCTCTCCCTCACTATTTTTAAAATGAACATTGACTATTTCTTAAAATGAACTTGGATACTAAACTATTTCTTAAATTGACTATTTTTAAAATTGAATACTAGTACTATTTCTGAACTGAGGTTGGCGTGCGTCTTGCATGCACTTTTGGTTGAGTTTTTGTTCCCCCCCCTCTTCATTTGTCTTTATCATTAAATAAAGTTACTATATGACTTTTAGTTAAAATTCAAATTTTTAAAGTCTTTTTCATTAGTTTTTTTAATTATAAAGCATCTCTAACGACTAATCATATTAATTTGACCTACATATTATACATGAAAACGAAAATGTTGGCTCTTTTGGAGGTAGTTTAATTTGTGTCATTTGCTTCTAGGGTTTATTCTATTTGTAGTCATTAGTTGGTTGTTGAAGTTTGGAAGAGAAAGTCAACCACTATTCTTCTTTCGTATAAGATTTTGAAGTTGTGGCCCCAAAAAAAGAGTCAAGTATACATCTCAGTTGTCAAGTGTGGTTCTCCACTAAGTTTTCATTCATCGTGGTGGTTTGCAATTGTTTGCCCGCTGCTGAATTAATTAGGGTAGGAAATTAAAGCGTTCATGTGCCAATCATGGACTTACGTCAAATATTGAGCTATGTGATGTGATGCTATAAGATGCTTTCATGTTGACTTGTGGCAATTTTTGACGACACTATGTTACAAAAAATATAAGGTTACAAGTTAAGACTTGTTGGTTAGGATAGTGACTCGCTTTCTTACACCTAAGTTTTAATCCCTCTTTATGTATTAGAGTAGTTTATGTACGCTTTTGTTCGCCAAAAAAAATATTGACAACATAAATATTAGATATCGACCACTATTGGAAAACTGATTATTTAAGTAATTGGAGATTGAAAAATGATCTTTTTTTTTGCCAATTTTTCAATATGGATGTACTTATGTGCTCACAAGCATCAATGGTAGAAACTTACTAAATTTCTAATATGCAAATTATTTCACCTACATTATTAAAAAGTTTCTCTAGATATTGTTTCACAACTAGAAAAAATTATATGAATTTGGATACGAAGGACTATATATCAAAAGATGGGGAAAAAAAATGAAAAAAAAAAAAAAAAACTGAGGAAGGTAAAAGAATTTTGTTGGAGAAAAGCAACAAGCAAAGGAAAGAGAAGCGACACGAGATCTGAAACTGTGAACTTGAGCTTAAGTACGTACTATTTTTCTTCATCTCAAAAGTGGAATATTCATTATATGAAGATATATCATAATTGCAGAAGCATTACTTGCAATGCACGGAAAGACCGACAGAGGACCCTCCTCCATCCATAATCGCATGCTGGTGAAAACCAAACTAAACTAAAATCCCGTTCCGCAGCCGTAGATTCATCTTCTGTATTTCGCATGACTGAGCTAAATTCTGCAATATCCTCTGCAATTGTATTGCTGTCCTTCCAAATACCCCTGCAATGGTTTTCCGATAGCTGTTGCGCCCTATGAAGCTCTAATAGTTATTCCAATCCGTAGATGTGCATGTTTTTCCTTTCCTTAATAGCTGCATCTGCATACATTTGGTTTTATTTTCACATTATATTTGACTATTTGTCAAGATACTTTCATTTACTTTTTTGAATAATAACACCAATCTTTATTTCGACAACAAATACAGACATATATACGATAAATACAATTTTCGTTAATTTTGTTAAACAAATACAACATGTACATTCAATCTCAACATGTCCTCAAATTCTTGTGGGTTTCAGTTCTGATTTGGTATCGTCTGGGGCTAGAGGTACAATTTGTTACTTGGTGGAGCACTGTATGGTGGATGTCTTGGTCACAACTGCTCGTGAGTCGTGGTCTAGAGGAAGATGTCATAAATGCCTCGCAGCCTCTGATGTAATTCCAAACTATAGGATTCGTTCATACGTATATTTGACCACATGTTGAAGGAACAAAATGAACAGGCATGGATCAAGAGAAAGTTTTTTGTTTTTGTTATTTTGGTATTTGCGGTTGCAGGCTGTGTGAGTGATATATTGTTTCATGTTTCTGAAACATTATAAACCAAAGTCTGTCATGAGTCCCTTGATTTAAGGAGTCCATTTCCTTGATTACTGTACAGTCATCTCAGATTGCTTTTCATCTACTTAGGAGTCTAAGTCACGTAATAGCTTGTATAGGCCTTAATTTCAGGATCTTGATTGATCCATGTATCTGTATAAGTCTCTCTTTGTACTAATTACTTTTCACTCAATTAATGAAAACAAGTTACAAGGCAGGTTTTCACACCCAGGCTTAGCAGTTGGCGTCGCATTGTTAAAGTCGCTGTACCGACAACTTCCTGCTGCCCAGCCACCTCTAACCATTGAGATAGTGGAAGATATATATGTTAGAAGGTGAAACAAACGGGGCCTTAATTCCTTGTTAGCTTGTCATTGCAGCGGCTGATTATCATCTTCAGACGGGAATAATCATCCTTGGAACATCACATTTGCAACGTCAATTTATTTCGTGATGGCACAGATTATGCTGTCATTATCAATACTTCACACGAATTTGATGGCAGTGATTTTGGAGCTCAGCCGGACGAGGCTATATATCGTATGGGAAAATAAAAGCTTCTGCTTTAAAATGGTCTCAACCATATACTTTCTTTGATCAGCATTGCCTTTTAGCTGGTTTTTCTCTTCTATTAAATGTTGTTGAACCAGGCACTGCTACAATTGCTTTCCCGCTGCTGCCTGCTGGTTGCCGAAACATTTGCCAATAACTCGATCAGAACTTAATGCAGTATTAAATTTGATCGCAAAGATTTTGACGAGGATGCAAGAGGCAGCAAGCAACCCTAGTTACTCAAGCATGTGTCTTGGGTTACTACTTGAGCTAATTGGATGCAAATTTCATCCGAAGAACATTTATATCCAGTTTTCTCGAATTCACATAGATTGCTCCAAAAGTTCACTATTCATGACTTAACTTGAGAAAGACTTGTGCAGAATCATTCACGGAAACAGCGAAGGATTAGCAGCTGGTGCGGTGAGGCTCTGAACTTGACACCCAATTTTGTTCATAGCGCTTAAGAAGCTCCACTGCCAATTCCGGTTCACTTTCTTGGCAACCAAGGAAGAGAGAAGCGTTTAGGGAAGAGAGGAATCAAGAGGGTACGTACAGACAGCGTGTCAAACCAAGCAAGCAAGAACAAAAACGTGAGCGTAGAGAAACTAAAAACCGCATCTAATCAAATATTTGGTACAAGTTTTTGCTTTTTTTACAAGAGTTGAAACTGTGGACTAGACCCTAATTACTATTTTCTTTTATCTCAAAACTGAAGTTCTGTTTATATGAAGATATTACAATTGCAGAAGA